CACTAAATCATGCAAGCAATGCATGCAAGAAATGTTAAAGGGCCAAGAGCACTAAAGCAAGTGAAGAACATTACACATGAGGCATGCACTATCAATCTCAGATGGTCAAACTAGCTATGGACAGACCTAAGATGCTCCAAAACAGTGGCCAAAACATACTAAAACTTAGGCACAAAAAAGAAGAAATGCATGCTCATATGATGGCTCGCAAACAAGGCACAAAGCTTAGCTTTCAAACACACTGAAAGAGTGATATATATGGGAGCATGACAGAAGTACAAGCACTAAAATCATATGCCAAATGACGACATATCATGCAAACAACACAAGCATAGCATGTTAGGGTCCTTAGAACTCAAAGCTAGTCAAGGGCTTTACACAAGAGGCATGCAATACAATGCACAAAAAACCAAACCAGCTCTGGATAGAGCTCAATCATGCTAAATCAGAGGCTACAACATGCTAGAATTGAAGCTCAAATAGCAAGAAATGCATGCTCACTTATTGGCTCACAAACAAGGCATCAAAGCACAACTCTCAAAAGCAATGAAAGAGTGATATACGTAAGAGTGTGACAATGATATATGCTTTGAAATCACATATAAAATGATGCTACGGCATGCACATACCTCAATCAAAGCATGCTTAAAGACCTTGAAACTCAAAGCTAGTCAAGGATACTTACACTATAGCTATAAAAAGCAAGCCTCATATGATCGAGACCAACCAAATCAGAGTTAAAGCATGCTAAAACATAAGCAAAAATGTGCTCGAGCCAAGCTAACACATGATAGAATGATGGACTAACTCATTACACATGTTAAGCTAGTAAGCAAAATTGCACTACAAGTGCTAGATACGAACAACCAGTGACTAAACCAGCCTAAAATAGAGTTATGGCAGGTCTAAAAAGCAACAAAAATATGCTTGAACAAAGCCACAAAGAAGTAGAAACACATGCTCATTTGGTGGGCCATCAACACAAGCAAACAAGACAAGAGGAGAGGGGACCACCCCCTCCTATTTGGGACCCCAAAACAAGTTTTCTGCCACTGACATTGCTTTGGAATTCAGTGGTTAAAAGGCCAAAACAAGATGGTTTCAAAAGCTTTAAAGGAAGGCAAGAAACTTAGCAAATAAGCCACCAAAGAGGGTGAAACACCCCTAACTCCAAAAACACTTTAAACTACCATTTTTAAGCCTTAAAAACAAAGGTTTTTGTAGTTGACAACTAGGTCAAAATCAGCATGCAAAGGTGGCCAAGATTATGTACAAAAATAAGCTTAAAGAGAGAGAGATGCTCACCCTTGAAGCACAGCAGCAAACAGCCAACAAACAGCCACTTTTCTTGAGCCAAAACCAACCTTTAGAAGCCCAAAATAAGTTCCAAGGGACCTCAGCTCAATGGTGATCAAGTTCAATCAAGGATGTGTGTGCAAAAGAGAAGTGTATCTAAGCTTTCATGCACAAAAAGGGCAAGAGAGTGAATTGTAGAGAGAGAGGTTTTAGAGAGAGAGGCTCCCAAGCTTCTTCCTCAATGTTCTAACCCTTGAATATCATAGAGAAGGCTCTCATATATATCAAAATACAAGCATTTGGTCGAAAATATCTCAAGAAAGACAGCTGGAGCAAGCTGGAGAAAAATATCTGCCAAAAATTGCTTTCTGCCATCAATGGCCGGCACTTGACCATTGTTGGCCAGCATGGGACACCATTGGATGGAAGGGGGCCGGCCTAGGCCATTCATGGCTGGAACATGGCCAAAAAATCCCATTTAGGGCCAGCATCTTCCATCTTCGATTGGACAGAAAAATCTACTTTTGGGGCCTGACTTCAACCGGACATAACTCCTTCATCTGGACTCCTTTGTAGGTCATTATTGAGAAGCCATGGAAGTCTTATTTCCAATGGTGGAAGCCTCACATCAAAATTCCAAGTGTGCAAAAAGTTATGCTTGTTTGAGTGAAGACTGCTCAGTTTCGATCCTACCCGGATTCATGCCAAACTTCTCCTCACCTAGTTTTGTTCTCTCCTCTCTCATTTTCTTCAACTCTAAACCTCTAAACAAGGTGTTTTGAAAGATTTTTCAAAGATTTCAACTCTCTCCCATTCATTTCCACTTTGTCCTTGCTCGGTTTACCGAAAAGCACAACATTTAACAAAATGCGAGCGTCGGAACATTGTAGGAACTTTTTCAAAAACTATTTTGAAAGAGAGGGTTTCAAGGTCTAAAATGTTTTGATCAAGATTGTTTTGGTCCAAAAGGGGTATGAAGTTGGGATTTGACTCTCTCCTTGCCGAAGAAATCGAACCCTTGCACTACACATCTTTCATCACCAAGTAAACCATCAGTAGCACCCAAGTCTTAAGGGCGGTCAAAAATTGGGTGTCTACAGTAGGTGATCAAGCGCGACCAGGTTTGAGACTTCCAGTCTGAACTAATTTGTGACAGCCATCTTGTGTGCCTCCCGAGGAGGTTCCAAAAGTCTTTTTGTGGTCAAGTTTTTGTGGACATGTTGTGCCCTAGTTAACGAGCAAGTGTTAAGTTTTATGTACTTCTCTTTTGTTTGGACAAGTTTGTGTTTCTTTAGTATGTAAGGCTGACGTCATATTATATGTAAATATAAGTTTAAATTTCTGTCCCATATAAGTTTGCACAGCTCTATGAACAATCATATTTTGATATTTGTTTCTGCCAGCGCCTTTTATTATGAATTTGTTTTAGAGGCCTTCGATAATCTTAGGATTACTAGCCGGTTACAATGCTTAACCTATAGGGACGGGTTTGGGTCGTGACAGTTAGCCTTTGTGTTCTTGGTGAAAGTCTAGAAACCCGCGCGGTTAGGTGCCGATCTTTCTAGTTAGCACCGGTAAAATGACTTTGGTAATACTTGTATAGTATATTGGTCGACACGTACCTAGAGATTCCCAGTGTTGTGTACCTATTGCCCTATTTTCTGATTTAAAAAGTATAGTTTCATGAATTGATTTATAATCATGACATTGCATTATTTTAAAAGAGAAAGTGTAACATTTTGATATATGGTATGCATATGCATTCACAATATGACGTCGTTAAGCATCATACAGTGTGTTCAAGCATTCTTTACTGGGCTTTAGTTCACCCTCTGTGGAAACCAACTTTCAAGTGCTAATGATATGCCTCCGCCAAGGACTTAGATTAAGAGGATTGTGGAGCTGAAGGCTCATTTTGTTTTTCTTTTATTGTATATATCTTTTGTATAATCGGCTTTTGTAGAATCGACTTTCTTCGCGCCCCCCTTTCGGAGAGCTCGAATTGGTCCTATAGTTCGGACTCCTGTCACGGTTCTGAATCTAATCTCATAAAGTTCAATGTGAAACTGATAAACACCAAAGAGTCCAATCCGACAAATCTTTTGGAAAATCGATTTTGAATAAAATAATGCCAAAACTGGACTGCTTTGCCAGATTACAGAGTCACCACCTAATTATTTTGTTTTTGGGAAATTTAGGAAACACTGACTCGTGCCAAAGGCCACATGTCCGTCATCACCAAAGTTGCCTCGGCTTGGGAACTTGGGTACGAAAGGGGAAGGTCATGAAATGAGCACCCTCGCTCGCCCGATCAAAGGATCGGACTCTACTAAGCGTGATATGTTGTTTTTTAAACCTCAGGTGTTCTTATTTCGGTTATTAGCTAACTTTACTATGTGACGCACACAAGCAAGTATAAACTAAGATCGCAAGAATTGGAACAAATCAACTCATGTTTGTTTTCGAAAATGGTTTGAAGGTGCCACTCTCGAGTGGGCTAAAGCGTGGATTTGCCATCCTTAGGTGGGCCTAAAACTTGATCTTGCCACTTCGCAAAGTGGGCTTAAAACTCACATTTATCGAATTGTTCCAATTCAAGCAACCAAGCCACTACAACAAAAAGCACAAATGGCGACTAAAAAAAAAATTTCCGTCGCTAAAAGTAGCACTTTCGACGACTAAAATGGAATTAGTAGCCAAAAGTAAAGACTTTTGGCGACTAAAATAGTTTAGTAGCCAAATGTATAGTTATTGGCGACTAAAAATCAGTTTAGTCGCCGATTATATGGGTTTTAGCGACTAAAAAAATTTTAGTAGCCAAAAGTCAAGGTTTTTGGCGACTAAAAACATTTAGTAGCCAAAAGTATACGTTTTGGCGACTAAAAAATAGTTACTAACACATAGAGCTAACTAGGCTAGCAAACAAGGCACAAGGAGTGGAGGCTAACCCCTCCAAATTTGGACTTCAAAACATGATTTTTCACCACTGAAAATACTCTGAAATTGAGTTATTAAAATCCCAAAAAAAGATAGCGAAGGCTACACGTATGATACTGCAAAGAAATATGTTATCTAACAGCCTAAGTATATCATATCATATAATGATAACCGAAAAGAAAACTCCTTCACAGGCCACATGTATGAACCAGAAACATGGTAAGATCTTAAGTCAAAATGAGGTAAAAATTACATCGTTGTTCCAGTGTATTAATTACCTTAATAAGCCTCAAACTTCCTATGGAATAGTAGAAGTCGAGTAATGAATTTGCTTCATGGACAGATACTTTAAGTCTTGCAGCAATGCCCTGGACAAGAAAGAAGACAAAGATCAATGTAATATTTCAGCATGTAGGTGATATTTCAAATAGAAAACAATTTCAAACTAAGAAACTAATCAATGCCAAAGCTTAAAGTTACCGCAAAGATTTCCTCATTAATCTCAACCATTTCAGAAGTAACATCAGCAATCGAAAAGATCCAAGTCTGAAAAGATAAGATCTAGCATAAATCTAAACAAGTCCACAGGCAGATAAATGAAAAAGCACAGCCTAGTATTAAAAAAATAATAATAATAAATGTTCGGTGGATATTTGGAGATGTAAAGTTCAATCCTTCCACCATTTTATTGGGGTCTTGCTCTCCCTTTTAGTTCTTCCTTCAAAGATACACACATACGCACATGAATGTGTCCTAATCAAATTACCAATAGACAGGATCTCAGCTTTGGGTCCACATCTCAAATAAGGATCAACAGCTTGTGGAGGAGGGCGGGTAGCCTTCTCAGGTGGTTCTGGAAGATCTAATTCAATATGTCCCAGTTCTCGTAAGTAAGAGTTCTCCTGAAAACAAAAGATTAAAATTATTAAAAAAAAATAAGAGAGAGATTTAGAGAGAAATAAACCTAAAATGTGAGTACAAATGAATGAATAAATAAATAATAGAATTCAATGGAAAAAAAAGTAGTGCTTACCATGACAGCATCACCAACAGTAAGTTGAATATCATATCTACCGGAAAGATAGAAAAACTTCTCAACCAGTCCAAGAAAATCCTTCAAGACCAAATGCCACATATATAAGGAAACTACTACATCTAACCATCACCAACAGGTAACTATCTTGTTCAATTCATAATTAATTTTCTTTTAACATTAGTATATCAGACTAGATTGCATTGCAACATATCAATAAACCCATGTTGAAGTCTTGTTACAAAGTCCTATAGATCTGTGAGTTGCTAAATTGATCAACTTCTGTAGATCCTAACAAGGAGGAAATGAAATTTAAGTTTTGATTGATCAGAGGAACTTACTAGTGTTATCTCAAACTGTTTACCATCTTTTAACATAAGGTTCCTAAATAAATTCAAGGCAAAATTTCTCAAGCAACAAGTTCAAGCAACTCGTGAGAAACAAGATTCAACAAGTCACCAAAGTGAATATAACAAGTTCGTTATAGGGGCCACTATCCTTAATGCTATTCTCTAAAAACCTGTAAGGATGGTTCGTCCTCATCATGGATAGAAAGCAAAGAACGGAGTGGATGTGTGTTTTCATTCAATGTGATTGTGTGCTAAACTTCACTGAACAGTTAGCATCCTACAACAAAATTGAATTAAGATGACCAACCACATCTCTCTTTAGGGGGGAGGGAGGAATGTTGTCCTTGCAAGCACAAACTCTCCACAAACTCTCATTTCCTCAGGCAGATTTCAACTTGGCTGATGTTGAGGCAAGGTGAGAAAGGGTCCTGTGTCCAACAAACATCAAGAAGATCCCCAAGAAACTAAGTGCTTTCAACGTTGTGAATAGATCCAACTGCAGAGAAATAACAATATTTACAGTCAAATGGCAGGGAGAGAAAATGGTTTTAATATCCAAATCTTTAGAAATATACTCAAGAAGTCGATGCTACCCTTTACTACCATGCAATAAAGGGTACACTTCTAGTAGCAAGTCTGCTGGCTAGCAGTCAAGGGTCTAAGAAAGGACAAGTGCAAAGTTAGAGATAGACCTTTAACCAGAAAAGCACATAGAGTGAGACAACTGCCGCAATGCCAAGATGGAACAAAATGGCAAATGTGGCAGGTACTGTTGATGTAGGGAAGTTCTTCAGGTTCACGCCCAGACGCAATAGCTGTCAAAGATATCAAGAAGTATGCAATAAGTAAATGTCCGGACAACAGTTTGGACATTTAAAGTAGTTGGTACGCACAATTGTCCGTCAAGAAGAACTACTAATGAGAGAAAATCAGTACCTTCAAAACCCAGCACACAAGTAACCACAAACAACATAATAGCTGGGTTTAGAGTTAGATGACAAATTAATGAAGACATTTCAACCACTTGATTATATTTCCTTCCCAAGGGAATTAAAGAAATAGCTATTTTTCCCTTTTCTTTTCTTTTTTTTAATGTTTTGGGAAGAGGGGATCACTATTGTTCCAAATTCACATTTGGGAACACAGTAAATGTGCAAATGAACTTAGTACAGCCAATTTATCAGGCACAAAGTGTTTTCAGAAACTACTATTCAGCAGCGTAAACAATCTAGTATTCAAAAATGTCTGTACTCAATGAAAATACAGTAAGGATCTCTGGACCAAAGACTCACCCCAACCAAGAATCCAAGGAATGGCAAGAGAACAAGGGCCAAAAAGGTAAGAGAGAGCTCCTGAGGTGGACCCTTTTCTGGAGACCTGAAGATATGAGTTATCTCAGCTTTGGGTCCATATGTCAAATAAGGATCAACAGCTTGTGGAGGAGGGCGGGTAGCCTTCTCAGGTGGTTCTGGAAGATCTAATTCAATATGTCCCAGTTCTCGTAAGTAAGAGTTCTCCTGAAAACAAAAGTTTATAATTATTAAAAAAAATAAATAAAAATAAGAGAGATTTAGAGAGAAATATACCTAAAATGTGAGTACAATTGAACAAATAAATAAAATAATAGAACTCAATGAGAAAAAAGTAGTGCTTACCATGACAGCATCACCAACAGTAAGTTGAATATCATATCTACCAGAAAGATAGAAAAACTTCTCAACCAGTCCGAGAAAATCCTACAAGACCAAACACCACATATATAAGGAAACTACTACATCTAATCATCACTAATAGGTAAACTATCTTGTTGAATTCATAATTAATTTTCTTTTTAAGGTTAGTTTGGTATAACAGACCAGATTGCATTGCAACATAACAATACACCCATGCTAAAGTCTTGTTACAAATTTCTATAGATTTGGGGGTTCATTTCATTTGAAAAAAGGAGGAAATGAAATTTAAGATTTGATTGATCGGAGGAACTTACTAGTGTGATCTCAAACTGTTTACCAGAGTTCCCCAAGACAAAGATGTGCTCCACTTTGGTCTCATGTCTCAACTTGAGAAATGCCTGCAGGCAAACAAAGTTCTTAGCAACCTTAATATAGGAAGAACATTATTAAAGAGACAAACCAAAAGCAGAATACAAACCTGATGTGGTTTAAATGGATGCCCAAGTGGAGTGGTCAATTGAAATGATAAACGCAGCTTTTGTAGATGGTTTGCTGATAATGAAAGAGCAGTCTCTCCAGCTAAATCTAGCCTAAAGAAAAAGCATAGCATGATGCAAATTTTAATCTCCTGAAGTAAAAAAATATAATGAATAACAACTTAATACAGAAAAATAACACATAAAGATCAATAAGTCATATTTCTTTTGATTGAAATAGAAGCATTTTTCTCACACCAAGAATCACATTGGAAGTTTGAAAAGTCAGAGATTTCAAATTAATCACAAACCTCAAAAAAAAATCGGTAAGGAGAGATATCAGTGTTCTATGGAACATGAAATTGAACAACAGCAGCATTTAAGAGAATTGGTTCAAGCATGTCAGTGGAAAAAAACAGGGGACTAAGCTATCGATAGCACTGTCTATTGATAAAAATGAAGAAAAACATAAACAAATCCACGTTAAAGGAAAAAGTAAGTGGCATACTTCTTCTGAGATTCTATGCTCCCAATATCACTGTCCAGTACTGCAATTTCGGCGTTGTCAACTTTGATAACTCCAGTGACATATATTGGTACTTTTGTTCGGCCTCCAGTGGCATAAATTTTCTTATGCTCCGAATCTTGTAGCACAATCTACCAAAAAAGGATGAAAAAAGAAAAGAGGATGCACATAAACAACAAACGAAGATCAACTTCTTTGACACATGAGATAGTGAGTAGGAGAGGAAAGGCGTGGGGATCTTTAGATCAGTAAGAAACGACAATAACAAATACAATTACCTCAAATACAAAAACATAATTGCCTACATCAACACTCTTTGGCCATGCATCCAAGAAATGGACATCATTTTCTTGATCAAACTTGAGTTCCTGCATCAAGGAAAATGACAAGATAATTATGATACAACTTACAAGCTAGGCAAATTATGTTCATAAGCATCTGATAATAAAAAATTAAAAAAACAGTCCATGCAACACCTGGCTCTCGATTATAGAAGCATCCTTCGAACCAGAACTGAAAGCTTGCGTGAGTTTTACTGATAGAGGCGGCGCTGTAGATCCCAGTACAGTATTCACCCTAACCTGATAATCACAATATTATACCGATCAGTATTTAGCCATATAAGCTAAACTTTAAACTAGATCTTGGGAAGAATCGTTTACCACTGGAGGTTATCAAGAGGTAGACCGAAACTTGACAGCTAAGAGTTAAAAGCCACTTAATGGAACTCAACTACCTTGGGAGAAGAGGACATCTATGAGTGTGGGGCGGTGTTCTGACTTAGTACATAATTGCAAAAATCCATTAAGTGGCCCTTTTTTAAAAAGACTCCAGATATCAAAAAGCCTGGACATGACTGGCCCTTTTTTTTAAGAATCTACCACACTAAGTATGGAATTCTGTTGCTAAAATTGCAAAAATCATTCAAAACAAGGAATTTTGTTCCTCAATCTCTACTGTTGGTAGTCATAATTGGATTTGACATTTACTTTTGTGATCATGGTAGCCTTGTAAACGTGGCTGTATTCTTTCAAACAGATTTAGTTAATTGGACCTATCATAATGAACGCACAAAAAAAATTTATCCTGACCGAATTCATATATCTCAATTCTTCACCTACCAACCCAAAAAAGAGAATATGTTCATGTTGGCGAAGAACTCACCATACAAGATATCCAAAACATATGGAGTAAGGAGGGAAATTGAAGTAAGCCATGTACTTAATAATCAAGATCGCATTGACAATAAGTCATAAAAGCACATTCTTAAAATACAAAGAAATAAATGAACAGAGATGAAAAACCTTGAGCTGGTCTTCTCTAGTCAGTGAAAGCACCGTAGCTGGAAGAGATAAAATCAGCGGAATGGAAACCCTGTAACAGAAAGAGATAAAAAAAAAAAGTCCAGATAATTTTGGAAGAAAGTTTTTTAAAAAGATGAAATAAAATAAAAAAACATATAAAGATTTCTAGTGAATGCCAGGGCAGGGAGTAAGTAAATCAGTATAACTAATTTTCATGACATTTTTTGGTGGAAAAGCTGTCAAAAATAACTCTTTCAATTTCCTAGTATCAAGCAAAAAAATATTGAAAGGAATACTAAACACATAATTGCAAGCATTATACCCGGGAAATAGAATTTGCATCTCCGAGAGCTTAAATAAACATTCCCACTAAAATGAAGTCCACACACATGTTAGCATTATGGAAATATTGTGTTTCCTTATTTATGATTATTAGTGGTAGCTTAGTTGTATTTCCTTTCTCGCCTAAAAAGGCTTCCATTGTAAATTACTTATTTTTCTAATATAAAAGGGGGTAACATTTCACAACCCTAAGTTTGTTTTTCTCCGAACAAACATGGTATCAGAGCCACTTGGCCCCTAGACCACCTGCCAGCACTACCACAGCTCCACCACATCCTCACCCTTCTCTCTGGCAGCCACCCATCATCACCCACACACTTCTGTGACTGCTAGACCCTATTTCGGAACTACCTTAGGCTTTCTAGGGCCAGCCGACAGCCACCCAAGCCCTGTCGGCCCTCTCTCTAGCCTCCTAGGGCATTGCCGACAGCCCCAACCCCTGTCAGCTCTCTCTCCAGCCTCCTAGGGCACTGCCAACAGCTTCTCAGATTAACAGGGAGCTGAAAAATTTATTCCATAGTCTGATCATATTTGTTTGGCCTGTTCTCTCCATTGCTGGTTTTATTTTTTGGTTGTTTAAGACTTCTTTGGGCTGTTTTGATTGAACCGTAAGATTCCTCTTTTCTTTTTCTTTGGGTCAATATATGGCCCTATTGCTCTTCTTTGACTAAGTATATGGCCTTACTGCTCCCCATGAT